GGTTCATGCCAGTATCAATTTACTGCTTACATTTTAAAAGTCAAAGTGTTCACTACTGAAGAATTCGTTTGATTATCTGAACTATTTGCTGTGGGAACATTCATGTGCTTCTCAGACTTCTCACCCAGTACTCTATTCCTGAGCCTCAACATGTCAGACGTGTGGGTGCCAGCTGGCAGTTCAGGGATCTTAGAGCTCCTTTGTTTCTAGCATTGTGTGGTCAGTGCTTGGAAGAACCTGTTATCCAGTGCTGGTCTGACATGGCCAGCCAGGAAGAGCTCCAGATTCACTTGACTGCCTTGAGGAGCTCACCAGGGAGACCCAGTCAAAAGGCCTTTCTGACCAGGCACGGACTTAGCTACATGAGAGATTTCAGCAGAATCATCTGTCTTCTGGTGGGCTAGCACCCCATAAAGAACTCAGGCCAGGTAGTCACTGCCAGTGGGGCACACCCTATCTCAGTGCCTACCTAGAAGCTTGCTCACTAAGAGCCAAAGGCACACAGACTCATTGCTGCCACCAGTGTTTGGGGAGTAGCTGGCCTGGAGGAACTGAGCATATATGCAATTGGGGTGTGCCACTCCATGGCTTTAGATTTCTATTCAAGTGAAAATGAGACATTTAAAAATACATTTATTGTTTTAAAATAGACATAATAAGCCCTCTGTTAATAGAACAAAACAATTTTATTAAACATTTTCCAAAACAAGGTAGAAGCTTAACAGAGAGTCCTGTGCTATGGCTTGGGAGGAAGTTGGATTCTCTTACTGCCTCTGCTTTTACATGGGAACTAGTGGTGTTAGACCCCCAAAAACTCAAGTATCTGGGGTCCCAGGCCACGTTCTCGGTCACCCCAATCACCAGGCGGATTCGAGAGCTTGCTGCAAACTGCACGAGGCTTTATTGTAATTTAACGAGCTAACCCCATGTTAGCTCGGGTCTTTCATCCATCTGCCATGGCGGATGGCCAGAAAAGATGGCTCCTAGGGGCTCCCTAAAGATCTTATAGGGCAGCGTAAGGGGAGTGTCTAGGGGTATGGACAGGCTCACGATTGGTGTGCCTCCAGCCTTGGAGGGCTTGCCCTGTGTTGATTGGTCAACTGGTTGTTATAGCTACTAGGCCCTCCCAGGGTGGTTGCTATGCTCTCTACGTCATTGCTGTGCGCTTGTCTGTAAAGCACACCCAGGGTCGTAAAGCATAGCGCCACCAGCTAACTTCAGACTTGTTCCTTGTCACGAGGCAGGCATCTGACTTTCTAGTTTCTAGGACAAGGTCAAAGAAGTGAAAGAAAGAGGTACTTTCGCAGAAGGAGACCCGTACCCAGGAATCAGCGAGACCACGAACTTGGATGCAAAAGCAAGAGGCTTTATTGGATACACGGGTACCCGGGGCGACTTAGCTCCTGTGAGGCCAAGCGCGCCGAGCTAAGGGAGAGGGGTCCTTATATAGCAAAAAGCACAGTACAGAAGCGAAAAGCATAGTTACAGGGATTCTATTGGACAATTTAAATGAGGTACAGAGTTATTTCAAGTCAGCATGTTCTCAAGGTCTGGTAATCAGGCGAAGCGGCCTTGTCTCTATCTTATCTTGGGTACAACAGACCCGGCAGTTCCTCCCTCCGCGTCCAGATGGCTGACCTTGGGACAGAGCGTTCCCCATCGGGCGGGGGCTCGCGGGCGTGTCACCGAGTATACGAGAGCGAGAGAGGGAGCTAATGGGCAGGGGTCTTTCAGAAGCACGTGTTCGGCCATTATGGCTGCCAAAAGGGAAGCTGGTCCCTTCAGTGGAAGGAGTCTTGGTGCTGAAGCAGAGCCTTAACCCTGGGGGTTGTTTTCTTTTGCATTCACTTCATGAAGGGTGGCAAGGTAGGAGTACTATACCCTGGCTGGGTGTAGCTACACCCCAGCAAGAGGATACTGCTTAGCGGTAGAGCACATCAGCAAGACCTAAAGGAGGAGCTAGCCCTCTGCTGGGGAGAGTATTCTGTCTTGGGGTGCCCTTCTGTGGTTTGGCAACCTGGCACTTCTCATGAGTGGTCTTTGAAGCTTCGATGGTAGCTGTGCACCCTCCTGTAACTGGCCTGCCTGGAAGGTAGAGCCTTGGTGTGGCCTGTGAGGGCCTCTGCTCAAAAAGGCCCTTGTATAATGTTACAGCTCTGAGGGGAAAGGTTTCCCCACTGCAAGTGCAATGTTACAGCTCTGAAGGCAAAGGTTTCCTGGCAGTTGGGAGCCAAGGAATACCACAGAGTAACACCACACAACAAACCTCACACAAGAGACTTATTGAGGAAGATACAAAAGGGTAGCTTAGCTGAGAAACAGCAAAGAACTGCATGGGAGGCAGGCTTTATCGGGCAGTGGTTCTCAACCTATAGGTCGCAATCTCTACAGGGGTTACATATCAGATATCCTGCATATCAGATATTTACATTACGATTCATAGCAGTAGCAAAATTACAGTTATGAAGTAGCAACAAAATAATTTTATGGTTGGAGTCACCGCAACATGAGGAACTGTATTAAAGGGTCCCAGCATTAGGAAGGTTGGTAACTACTGATATTGTGTTTCTTGTGGGGTTGTGGGGCAGAACTTTCTAGGGTGGAGATTGGTGGGATTTCAAATTCTGAGCTTGGGGCAAGCTCAAGGATTGGTGGGTTTTCAAGCCCTGAATTTGGGTTTTTTACTCTAGGGAAGAACTTGGCCACCTATATCTTTAGGGTTTAGGTCAAGCCATCATGGCAATTAGAGTGTTCTGTGGGAGGAACCGGTCTTTCCGAGGTCCTCAGGGGCTGGGCTCAGCCCTCTTTCTTTGGGGTAGGACTCAGTGGTTGGAGATCCTCAAGGACAGGACCTGCTACTCATGTACCTCAAGGGGCTTAGATATCCTCTTTTTTTTTGTTTACAGTTGATAACAGGGGTCAGGAAGGGGAGAAACTTTATCATTAGACTACTTCCTGTTGAATGGGAACATCCAAGTCCTTGGGCAGGCTTGATCTTCACCATCAGGTTATAACCAGGAGTTGTAGGCCTCTGGCTGTGTAGCTAGGGGCCGGTAATCTTGTAATAGCAACTAACTCAAAGTCTGGTTAGAAATCTTTTGGATCTGTTGGAATCTAGACACGAAGTTTATAATGCAGGATTTGACTAGTTGGGTTAAGAAAAGGAGGAGAAAGGGGGTTAAGAAGGGTACTATCTGATTCCAGAGGCATCGAGCTGTTTCTTAAAGTTTTGGAGATCTGTCTGGAGTTGTCAGATCTTATTTTTTACTATACCCAACTGGTTGACATAGAAGCAACATTCCTTCCTGGGGAAGGGACAAAGACACCTCTCTCTGAAGTTATTATATCTAACCCTTACTGATTTTGTAGCATTACAGTAGCCAGTGAGTCTGTTTGGTCCTGTAGGGTAAGGATGGTGTGAGCCACCCATTGGAGATCATGGATGAACTTAGGGGGAAAATGATGGTAAATAGCTAGGAAAGTAGTCACCCCCAACACCCTCAGTGGTAATGCCAGTGGTATACACAGGACTTGAGAAAGCATAGGTCCTGAACCATTCATTTGTCATGCCATGTTGCTGTAAACCCTGTGATGTGAACTGGCAAGGGTTCTTCGTTGGGTACGACTACCCCTAGTTTTGGAAAAAAGAACACAAAGGCTCAATTACCAGACCACCCAGTTGACAGGCAGCAGGAAACTTGACACAGACAAGACATTTTTGGTCATAGGGACTTTATCATTAGACTACTTCCTGTTGAATGGGAACATCCAAGTCCTTGGGCAGGCTTGATCTTCACCATCAGGTGAAGGGTTAAGATATTATTGCACTCTGAGGAATCCAATATGCCTACAAAGCCTACACGCCTTGACTTCAGCGGCATCCATGGAGCCCACACTCTTCACAGCCCAGGGCCCTGAGGAGTTAATGCAATCTGATGTCAGAGAGAGATGTCGTAGAGATAAGGGATGATAGTAATTTTGGCTGAGAGCAGTTAATGAGTGGCAAAGTGAGAGTGTCTAATAAGACAATGGGCAAGGCCACAAATGGTGGTTGTGATTTGACCAAGAAGGGACACACAGCTAACATTCTCCAAAGCAGTCAGACAGTGTTATTCAGTAGCTGATAATGTAGATTCTGAAACGAGAGATGGTGTGACAGGGAGGTAGGATCACTATCGTCTAAGAGGGGTGATATTAGGGATGTAAGGACCTTTGAGGAACACTGGACCATTTCTTCTACTATGTCTACCTAGGGGTTGAGACTGGGGTGTGTACCCTCTGTATTTTGATGGTGCCTGATGGACGGCTGTGATAAATACTATAGTAAAGTTTACCAGTGACCCCCATCTAGGGTGCCATGTGTTCTTAATTAAGATATAAAAGATTCCCCATTTTGAATATGCATCATGTCTCCTATAAAGGACCAATAAAGGCTGTCTCTGGCCATTATCAACAGTAATCTCTAATAATCTCAAGCACAGGGGACAGATGTTTTAGAAATTGATTTAGGTGTTCTAGGGATAAATATCTCCTTTTGGCAACCTGCTGGTGAGTAGTCTCCAGTAGTCTGGTTGACCCATTGGTATAGGTTTCTTGAACCTTTGAAATATTAATATAACAATAGCATAGAGGGGCAAAGAAATATGAAACAGTTTTTCATTACCTTAAATCACTTCCTTATACATTCAGAACTTTCTTAAGAACCTTGGAAAAGCAGCCTTTTGAAAGAGGTTTATGGTTCAGGCATCAGGTGCTGCCCCCTGCTGTCACACACATCTTAGAGCCCAGGTCTACAATACTTTCTCCCAGGATGTCTATAAAGTCATGACCATTTGGATTGGCTACCCAATAGCCCTGAACAGTCTGGCCTTTGGTGGTCTCTCTCCTTGCCTGCATCTGACGTAATTAGCCCAATTTGCAGGTCCTTCTCAGACCCCCATGGTTCCAGCTCAAATGGGACATGTGACATGTCATCCATGACATCCTTTCTTTCTTGGCAGGAAGTCTAAAGCCAAGCCAAACGGCAAGAAAACTGCTTCAGAGGAGAAGAAAGTATACCTGGAGCCAGAGCACACCAAGTCCAGGATCACCGACTTTGAGTTCAAGGAGCTGGTAGTGCTGCCCCGGGAGATCGACCTCAACGAGTGGCTGGCCAGCAACAGTGCGTGCGGGTGGGGAGGCGGGTGCAGCAGCTGCAGGGCAGGGAGCCTCCCCCCATCTCCAAGTACCCCTAGAGCAGTGGTCCATGGACAGGCCGAACTCAGCTGAACCTACTCCCTGTCACGCCAGCTGGAACAGGGGTGTTTACTCACCTGGACCTTTGCTTCTCTTCCAGCAACAACATTTTTTCACCACATCAACCTGCAGTATAGCACAATCTCAGAATTTTGCACAGGAGAGACGTGTCAGACAATGGCCGTGTGCAACACGTGAGTAGCAGCTTGGCCATAGCACCAGTTGGGAGTGTGGGATTGGTTGTGGTTGACCTTCTGTTCTGGCTACTAGCTTCTTAGAGTCCATTCTTTTTTTTTTGGGGGGGGGGAGCGGTTCGAGACAGGGTTTCTCTGTGTAGCTTTGGAGCCTATCCTGGCACTCGCTCTGGAGACCAGGCTGGCCTCGAAATCACAGAGATCAGCCTGTCTCTGCCTCCTGAGTGCTGGGATTAAAGGCATGTGCCACCAACGCCCGACTTAGATTCCATTCTTAACCACAATCCCTGCACAATCTCAGGCTAGGCAGGTGCCCAGCATTAGTGTCTCTGCTGGCATAAAAGATACTAAGAGCCATCAGAGGCCAAAGGCAGGCCATGCTTAGATGGTCCCTGAGCCTGCAGAGTGCTCAGTGTCCTAGGAGCTGCAAGGCTAAGTGAGCAGGCTCATTCTACTGGTAGAGGTGTCTGTTGACAACTTCTGAACAAGTCTAGTGCTGACAGCTATCTTCTGGATATATGTGTACATTCAGTGCTGTAGAATGCAGGTGACTTTAGGGTTTCCAAGATAACTCACCTTGCTTTGTGCGTAGGAAAGCCAGCAGTTCTGGGTTGATGGTAGGAGTGGCTGTGCTAATGCAGGCAGAAGGCTGAGTTTGGCAGGGCTCAGCCTAGGGTGGATGTGGCCAAGGAGGTGGAAGATCTTCCATGATGACTCCTCAAGATGCTGTGAACACATGGAAATGTACATGTGTATGCACATGAGCGCGCGCGCGCGCGCGCGCGTGTGTGTGTGTGTGTGTGTGTGTGTGTGTGTTGTACACTCAAACAGTCCTCCTTGTAGGTACAGATTTCCCCAGACAACAGCTCTGCTTTCAAGAGTCTGCTGTAAGTCTTGGTACAGCAAGTGACAGGAGTCCCCCATGTCTCAGGCCTGCTCACATAGCTCTAGTGGCTATAGCTCAGTTTCTGGCAATGTAGGGAGAACAGAGCCAGTTCTCTTCCCCAGGAAGAGACTGTGTCAGCTAATCATTGCCAGGGAAGGTGAGAAGCCTTGCTATAGACAAGCTCGGTGTGTGTGTTTAACAGAGGTGTGGCCTCTGAAGGACAAACCCATGTCAGATTCTGAGGTAGCACATGAGAGCATGTGCATAGCCTAGATAATACCAAACAGCATGGTACCCTTCCTAGCTTCTCCCATGTGCCTCTTAGAGCTGAATTTGTTTGGGAAAAGCTTTCTTTGGGGGGGGGAGGTTGAGACAGGGTTTCTCTGTATTGTTTTGGAGCCTGTCCTGGAACTCTGTAGACTCACAGAGATCCGCCTACTTCTGCCTCCTGAGTGCTGGGATTAAAGGCGTGCGCCACCAGTGCCTGGTCCCGAGGGAAAAGCTTTCTTGAGAGCATAGAAGCTAGTGTTGTTGCAGACCCGCATTCAGTGCATGCTGGAGAGCCTGGGCAGCTAAGCTTGCCGTTGGCTCACTTTGCAGAATCACTTAATAATTCCTACTATAATCCCTTTGAAGGAATCATGTGAGACCAAGGGATTTTGGAAACTCAAAATTAGTTTAAAAGGAAAAGTGGGTTAGTCAGATATCCACAGAACTCCTTGCTGTGTACCAGCCCTGGAGGTTTGCCTAGGTTAGAGAGGATCTGCATTAGGCTAGGTCTCATTTCTATTCTTGCAGCACTTGCAGGATAACCCCAAAAGGCCAGCATTGGGATCTAGGGAGCTAAGACACATTCAGAAACATGGTCAAACATGTCCCTCAGAGACACTCCTTTAAATTGACAGAGCTGAGTGAACCCTTAAGGACTCCTGTGAAATAACCCAGACACCAAGCACAGTAAAGGCCCTGTGGCATCAAAGGTAGTGAGTGCTGTGGGACTTGGAGAAGCACTCCATGTTTCACATGGCACAGAGAAGAGGCATTACTCCACATTATTTCACATCCAGCAGCCATGCCCTTCAGAAGCACAATTGAATGGACCACTGCATGGTATCTGATCTACTGTAGAAGAATTCCAACCAGTTCTTCAGCTGTGTGACAGCACAAAAGAGTCAGCATTAGGAGAAATAGAGACTCTTCTCTGGAGCTCTCAGAAGTTATTTGAGGGTGAAATGAAGTATGGTTTGACACATTCTCAGGTTCAGAGATGGGACATGTGAGCAATGGCAGTGAGAGGGGAGAGGTGCCTATTCCCTGTTAGTAACCACCTTTCCCCAGCTGTGAAACCCTGAACATGAAAAGCTATGTATGTACTTTGAAATTCTTTAAGTGATATGAAAACACACAGTCAGAACCATAATGGGTAAATTGAAATGGAATAGTTAAAAAAGTGGGCGTGGGGAGATACAGCCCCACATACAGCATGACCATGGATTATAAAGATAAAAACAGAACAAGCAGAAAACCAGCAATGGTAATGTAAATCCAGCAGATGAATGGCTGCTACTATGTGAGTATAAGAGTTTCAAAGAGATTTTTATGAACATATTCTTGTAGAACTAAGTCTGAGCCTCCCTGTGAGAAACACTCACCATCATCAGTCTGAACTGCCATAACCAAATGCCGGCAATGGAGGTTACTGAACAGCACTGGTATATCTTGTGGTTCTAAGAAGAGCTTCTTGGTTCATGAACAACAAACAGCTCTTTTTGAAAGGCATGAGTACTGGCCATGGGAGCTCTGCCACTCTGGCTTGATCACCCCCAGCTTGGACAGCATAGCAGAATTCTGTCTCTTATAAAACTTTAAACAGGGCTGAGGATATGGCTCAGTAGCAGAGCAATTGCTAGCATGCATAATGCTGAACTTCAGCATAAATTAGTCACTCACCAAATGAACACTCACTCAATCCAAATGTACACTTTGGCATATATAAGTTCTTCAATACTTATTAATGAATCCTCACTCCCAAGGTCATGGTATTAAGAACTAGGCTTCTGGAGGTGAGCCCCTGAAGGAGTCCAGCAATGAAATAAATACTGGAAGATCAGCACACAGAAACAGTCACAGGTCCGCATGCTAGCTGTGTATGATTGAAACCCTAACTAATCAGAACCATTTACAATAGTTCCAGAAGCAACAGAATGCTTAGGTATAAACTTAGCATTCAGAGGGCTCTGTTTCTGGAAACCACAGAAGGACAGCACATGAACAGCCCCACCGTGTTGGTGGATTGGAAGACAACAAGCTGAACGTACAGATCTACGCTGAACAAATTTGTGGTTTAGTGTATCCCCAATTAAAACTCCTCAGAGCTATTAGCTACTAGACTCGTGTGTTCTGGAATTTACACAGAAGTGGGTAGCTAGAGTTACTCACAACAGTGCAGCTGGAAGGGCCCACAGTTTGAAGATACACTGTTGTGACAGGGCAGTATAGTGTTGCCCAAAGGTGAGGCAAAAGTTAGTGGGGCAGAGCAGAATCCAGAAGGAAACTCAAGCACAGTCTTTGATTTCTGATGACTTGGCCATTGGAACTGAGTAGAGAAATCTGGAACATGAAACACTATGTTTTTACTTTGAAATTTTGTTTTGTTTCTCAATAACTGCTGCTGTGAAATGCAACTTTACACAGAGGAAAGGGAAAGTACCTCAACTTTAAGCCTCACACCTGATGCAGAAATGGGAAGACACAGGCTTTTATCTGACCTAGCATTAGGCTATCGGACATTATAGCAAAGGAGTGGCCCACTGATGAAGAGGACTCAGCCCATCACTTTATTATGATGATTCAGAACTTTTATTCTAAGAAAGACAACTATGAGGAGAAGCAACAAATACAGACTATGTGGAAACATCTGGGAGGCACCTGTTGCACAAGAACTAGTATCCAGGACATGCAGAGAACTCTCAGTGCAGCAGCATGCAAGTAGCAGTTTGATTGACAAGAATGGGGAAGGACTGGTTGCACAGTGACAGTATGGCAGTGAGCCACTAAGAAGATATTCAGCACTGGGGAGTTAAAGAAACACAAATGAAACCTACATGGGGTATTGCAGAACACTAGGTGCTGGGGAACACATGCCATACTGGTGGGGTGCAGGTGGCATAGCACATAGGATAACATTGACACATTCTCATGAAATGATGCAGACCTGCTGTGGCCATAATCCTGTTGTTGGCTTTTGCTTTAGAGACATGAAAACTTGTGTTTACACAGAACGCCCCTCCCCACCCCTACCATGGGAACATATGTAACAGTGTGGTCTATAATTGTCTCCAATTGGAAGGAAACACAAGCCCTCAGCAGGAGCTTAGAAGAGCATGCTGTGCCCTTGAATCCAGAGCACCTAGGTGGTGTGACATTCCCACAGCATGGCCAGATACCAGAGGCTTGTGAGAGGCCCATGTGAGTCCTTCATCCAAGCTTTCCCAAGGAGATGCCTAAGGGGGCAGCAGTCAGTGCACCAAGGGTAGCACCAGCTCCTCTTGGCAGAACACAGAGTAACTGTCATTCTGCACAAGGTTAAGACCCAGCAACTCAATATACTCAGTGTCTCCTCATCCCTGATGCTGGTCTTCTCAGAACTAGCAATCTTACGAGCATTGGCTACCCCATGCACAGGCTAAAGAGTTTGGGGTGGGTCTCCAGGGGTCAGGTCACTTTACTGCAAGTATCTATTCCCCATGGGGAAAGTGATTTCTAATTCTGGGAAAGGGCACCACCAACGGTCTAGGCTCTCTGACCAGTCTCAGGCCACCTCCTAGACAGATACCTGTGCCCAATTAATTTTAAGGAATTTATTTACAATAAATACAGATTTATTTAGAAGAAATGAAATCTGCAGAGCTAGGCAAAATGAAAGTGTCACATTGGGCTCCCTGTATTCTCGCTTCTGTACATGAAGCCCTTGCTCTCCTCAGATGCTATTCTGAGCACTCTGTGTGTCCTATTGGAATAGTTGTATTTAGCTTGCTTGCCTTATTCTATTGCCTTTGCGTTTGTGTTGTATGAGTGGGAGCCTGAACTGGGGCGGGTGTTTGGCAGGGTTGGCACCCTGACCAAAGTCTCTGTCCCTACAGACAATACTACTGGTATGACGAGCGGGGGAAGAAGGTCAAGTGCACTGCCCCCCAGTATGTTGACTTTGTCATGAGCTCTGTGCAGAAGCTGGTAACTGATGAAGATGTGTTCCCCACAAAATACGGTATGTCTCTTGCAGCTTGTACCTAAATCCTTATGTAAAGCCAGTAAGTTCTTCAGCGCTGGGCTAGAGAGTCTCTGGGGTATGATTGCAAGTGAGGTCTAGAAGGCCTACAACTTTGGAACTCTGGCTCCTGCTCAGCAAGGGGGACCTGGGCTAATGAGGGAGGGAAGTTCCCATACAGGATTCAGCCCAGCTAGAGTCAAATACCCACCTACACTCTGGGACCCACTACATGGCCCCACTCGGTCCCTGCTACCAGCTCTGCACAATGAGGCTATCACAGTCCATCTTGCTGTGGTTAGTATTTCCAGACCTGTCAAGGTCCTGATGGGGGCTCAGAACTCATCCTGAGCAGCAAAAGGCCAGCAGTGACCTACAGGGATTCCTGTGTACTTGTTACTCCTCCACTACCTGGTCTACAGATAGCCCTGGGGTGTCTGCTGGAGGAAGCATGGAACCTGTAGGCCCATTTGCTGCGCAGGTGACCAGCATGGCTCAGCCAGTGCCTATCACTCTGGGCACATGCCACTCTGAGGGACAGATTGCTGGGAACTCTGTGGAGGAGTGGTAACAGGTGTGAGCACTTCAGGTCCATCCAAGAAAGCCTAGTTGTAGGAGCTTGACCTCCTTACAGGTCTGTGACATGTGGCCTCCCCCTAGGCAGAGAATTCCCCAGCTCGTTCGAGTCCTTGGTGAAGAAGATCTGCAAGTATCTGTTTCATGTGTTGGGCCACATCTACTGGGCCCACTTCAAGGAGACGTTGGCCCTTGAGCTGCACGGACACTTGAACACACTGTACGTGCACTTCATCCTCTTCGCCAGAGAGTTCAACCTGCTCGACCCCAAAGAAACTGCAGTCATGGACGACCTCACTGAGGTGCTGTGCAGCAGCCCGGGTAGCAGTGGTGCCACTGGGGATGGGGCCAGCAGTGGAGCTTCTGGAGCACAGAACCATGTGAAGGAGAGATGAGCCTCCAGGGCCAGATGGGTGCACATGTGCAAAGAGACAACTGTGTGTCTGTGTGTGCGCACACATGCCCCGAGCGTGCTGGTGGCAAGGTCTGAGGGCCCTGGGCTGCGCAGAGTGTGGGCTCCATGGATGCCGCTGGAGTCAAGGCGTGTTTCCTGACTTCCCTGTTGGATGGATGAGTGCTATTTGTAGTGAAGAGCCTTTGGAGTCATTCATTCATTCAACAAACATTTATTGGACTGATGTTTTGATTTTTCTTCTGTGGGGTTTTCCTTTCTTGGGTCTTCCATGTGTCTCCTGCCCCCCACCCCCAACCCGCAC